TGAAAACAAGGGTCGTGACAAGGTGACGCCAACTGGCGAAGATGGCGCCAGCGCCGGAATGAATGTCATATTCGTAATCAGGACACCAAATAACCCCTATACGGAAGTTTACACCGAATTTGGTGAAAACAAGGGTCGTGACAAGGTGACGCCAACTGGCGCCAGATGGCGCCACCGCTAAAATGAATGTCATTTTCGTAATCAGGGCACCAAATAACCCCTATACGGAAGTTTACACCGAATTTGGTGAAAACAAGGGTCGTGACAAGGTGACGCCAACTGGCGCCAGATGGCGCCACCGCTAAAATGAATGTCATTTTCGTAATCAGGGCATCGAATTACCTCTATGGGCAAATTTACGGTAGTCTCTAGGTGTACGCAATTACACTGCACGAGCGGAGGTGTTTTTACGTGACATTGGCTAGGGCTTATCTACCGGGAATTGGGGTAACTTCGAAAAATCTAAAATAATGACCAAGCTTGTGATGCATGGTACACGGATCCGAGGGATTTGCGTGCTGTCTCGATCACATTGCAGGCAAAAAAAGAGAGAAGCTAGTACAGAGGTGTTATTTTGAGTTTTTATTTCGCTTGTAGAAAGGGCATCAGCGTTTCCATCGATTTACATGGAAGGATGTGGAGCGGTCACACAAGAAAAACATACCAGATTCGTCATCTCCGGTCGGTTGAATCAGCTGAGTTGGCATTCTGCTCGGACTACGACCAAGACGTTGTTTAGAAGAGATGCGCTCCGTGTCTGATTCCATTCTTACGAACATGTAACTGCTTCCGGGGGCAATTTCATGAGATGACTCGTCAAGACGCTGTAATGATGTTAAAGGAAATATCGTATTTTCCAGAAGATTCTGATCCAAAAGGTTCCGCTATATAAGATCTTTTAAGGCTCTCGTTACAACTAAAGATGATGAGGGCCTCACGTTTCAGTTTAAAAGCCTGATGGGGACGTTCGCAGCACAAACGGTGGAAAGTAGCTTCTCAACGGAATCTTTCCGAATAAAAAAATCATGAATCTATATCACCCATAATCACTGGCTTGAGACCCATCATTCATAAGAATGAAAAGAACAAAAAATTGCATTTGTTTTGGTAAACAATTCGAAAAACCGAAGGACTGCTACGCGTTCAAATTCCCGCCGGACATCTGTCACAAATGCTGGCGGTGGAATGCTTTTACTTGGTTCACGGAGTGCTGTCACTAGAAACTCCTTTTGATCGCTTGACTTATTCCGCAAAAGCTCATACTTCTACTGTGTCTTGTCCTATCGATCTTTTGTCTCCATTCTCCAGGATCGATCGCTTCAACCCGCCTACAATGTGCCGCCTGATACGTGGCCTCTTCAGAGGCGCACTTCTTTCCATGCCCGCCTTTGGCTCCGCGCGACCTACCTTCGACTGTCCATAGAGTGTGGTTTCAAAGTTTGTTTCACTTCGGAAACTGAATCTTCGTGCGTGAAACTTGTATGTTGCTCACAATTGGCAGTGTCATGTATGCCGGGCGAGTGATTTTGACGATGCTACTTTTACATACATTGCCTTCATTCACACGACTGCCACCTTGCCTCGCATATAAATTCCTTCCGATTTCTAGGCGAACTGAACGCCTTAAAGGCAAGATTCAGGATAAATTATGGGTGATTCCACTCAAATGTGAAAGTAGGGGTAGGAAGTGGACCGCCAGTGGAGAAAAAAGAAAAAAATCGTGAAATACACAGGAAATACGAGCCTTTTGCTCAAGAGCATAGCAGATCAAGTTAGCGACGCAGACAAGATATCGAGCGGTGGGCGGAGCGTGTCGCAACAGGTGGAGCGTCAAAGTTCTTAGCGCCTAGCGTCTAAATAACGCTTTTCGAAGTAGGGAAGTGACGCGACCTCTACACTTGCGTACCTAGCGCTTCTAGCCACCGTAAAGGCTCATTAAGTGGGTCTGAGCCCGAACTTTGCCTTTAAATCAATTGCGGCACACAGTGAAAAAGTGACCGACGTCGCGTGCTGTCAGAGTATGGCACATACCATAGGCCGATGTCAGACTTTGCGAATCGCGCGATTCGCTAGCGTCTGCGGTCGCGTCGCGGCCAGTGAATCACTCAATTGGCTGGTACCGCAACGCGACCGCGGACGCTAGCGAATCGCGCGAATCGCTAGTAGCGAATCGCGCGATTCGCAAAGTCTGACATCGGCCTAACTGGCGAAGCGAATGTTGTCTAGTGTTCATAGTAGTCGGAGCGTGTACCGGAATGGGTGAAGCCAAAATTGCAAGCTCATTCAAGTTCTCGGAATTGGTATAGTGGCAAAAAGCGCCACTCACCACAGGCGCGCACACACAGTCTTATCGAGTTTCACCACGCCAGCCGAGTCATCCATGCCATTGGTTGGTGCCCGATTCGTCTGGGGAAACAAACCAATGAATGACGTTTACATTGGCCAGCAGCGCAATACAGATGCCACTACGATTCCTAGTTGAAGTAGGATGCCTACTGCAATCCGAAAAGGATTGATTATGCTTCCAAGTGGATGTTCTAGGAAAAACGCGAACGGCCACACAATACATCTTTTGGTGGTTACTAATGAGATGTACTCGAGAAAAAATTGAGAATTAGATGGATGTGTGCAATCAAATGGCGCCTCACTCCCAACCGGAATTCCACTTCTCAAGCTTTTAAGGAAGGGTCGATGGGATAGAGGAATATGGTACAGCATACTCCAGCCGAGAATACATGTTCTCGATTCATCACTCACTCAGTAAATGAGGAACAGAACTGATGAACAAGAACTGAGAATGGTCGAAATGGAGCTTTAAAATGAAAATGTGGACGATCTAATCGAAGAAAACTCCAAAAAGAACACGTAATTTCGACCATGCAGATGTTTCTGTTTCACCCCTCCCCCTCCCACACATTGCTCGCTGCCAAACAAAGAACACGCATGCGTTTGGGGTGCTGGTGCTAGAAGCTTCTAAGCAAAAGCTTCAGTCGTAAATGTACTCCCGCCATAAAAACTATTGTAATTCAGCACGATTAAGACAATTGCAAAAAGTCAAGCGAACTCTCAGAGGTGTTTTTGGAGCGAAAACTAGGTTGGCACATAATTTCTTTCTGAGACATTTACATGTATTGCTGTAAAAATCTTTTGAGGAAGTATTGGAGCTTCCACCATGCCTTGCAACTCAGCACACAAGCTCACCTATCCGAGAAGCTTGCCACCTCGTTTGCTCGTGCTTTCTCTAGCAAGGACTCCAATTTCTTCAAAACTACTTTAAAGCCGGGAGCGCCATGCTAGGTCGCCGGGGGTATATCCTTTCCGGAAAATTGCGTGTCGGTCCAAATTCTTACAAGGCCAAGTAATGTTCCCCTTTACGACCATTAACCTAATCGGGAAATCTCATTAAAAAGGATTGGGATTCTGACGAAAGCCATACCTCCCCCCCTTCTCTCCAAATAACAAGGATCCTCTGAGTTGTTGGCAGAAGAGGACCGTAATGCCCCGCCTAGATCTAACATCCAACAACCAACCAAGGACCGTGATTAAGCGCGAATCAACAGCTTTCAATGACCGCGCTTTTCTAAATTGAAAGCGAAGTGAGAACCAAGGTCTCCTTTGACCACCCAAAAGGGCGTTTGACTTCACCTTGCGGAGAACCTTCATTTGGAGATTTTAAGCCTCCACCTCTCAGCTTTGCCGGACACTAACCTCGTCACAGCAGAATCACAATTCGCATCCCCCCTCTAGTATCTCCTCGGGAGAAGAAACGTACCCCCCCCACCTTCATGTGCCAATCGACATCCAACTTCCATAAAGGGGCATTGAACGCCTACACTTGCATTAGCGATATGCTGCTAATAATAGTGGTGTATGCGAAATTTGATAAAAATATCAGAGAAGTGAAAAAGGAATTAAAATCGAAAAGCAGGCAAGGTTTCTCAGAAATCATGTGCCAATCCAGTAATAGGGTCTCGAAAAATTCTTCTTTCGATCCTGAACGATATAAATAATAGGGCCGACAAAAATGGTGGAGCTCTAGATGCGGCGAAGATCATTTAGCATTGTTTTGAAGCATTTCTCTTTGCAGGAACTATACAGGTCTTCGAGAAAGTGCCACATAGGCAAAAAGTCTATTGAGTAAGATGCTCGCGCTCACATCGCTGTAGGCCGCTGTCAAGTTGGTCGCATATGCTTTGAGTCACCTGCCAGGTCCTTTTATGATGAAGAATACTAGATTGATGTGTTGAAGTTTTCGGCATACTCTGACATACTATCAAGAGCACTATTCCACTGTAACAGATAAACCTGATTCCGCAAAGCCAGCCAGCCAAGGAGCCTTATGAACGTCCAACATGCGTCAAATCAAAGCAATTCCCTTTGCGTGTGTAGCTGCGAATTGATCGGCGCCGATAGCTTTCAACCGAATCGTAGGGCGTAGGAGCAATCTCTGCATTGCATGACGCTAATCAGTGAAAAGCAGCTCTTTTCATCCCACACGGGAAATGGAAGCGAACAACACTTCAAAATACCGATTTGTTACGACACGCCCTCATCGAATTTTCTGGATTTTCCAGCTCTCCGCGTGTGACTAGGAGCCACTTTAGTTACGAGCAGTTCAAGAAGAAGCTTATCAGGTTAAACGCACGCGTGCTTACAGTAACGATTTCTCAGTATGGTTGCGTAGGTCTCACCGTATCCGCGTTCGCTGTGGACACGCAGTGCTACATGTCGTGAGGAAGCTCACGATAAGCGGAGCGTACAGTGACTGAAGGTATAAAATGATATGTGCGGAGATTGAAGGGTTTTTTGTTGCTTTGGCATTCGATGTTCTGTTGATGTCGTTTTTGATTCGTTTGAACTCCAATAAATCTTGGTTAGCTGAATTATGTGAAATGCAAGCAACGTCATGGTGCATCGGCCGGGAATCGAACCCGGGCTGCCCGCGTGGCAGCTGTGCATTCGACCACTAAACCACCGTCGATAGCCCGGGCATCATATTTTGGTCGATTTCACATACCCTCGCCTTCAAATGACCAGAAATTGTGCAATTGCAGAAATTGACGTGGCATTAACGTGGCATCGATTCAAGAACATCTTTGAGCACACGTGATGTCACCTTTTCATCGAGAATTTAGCCACGTGTGCCACGTGGATTTCTGGCTGCATGAAACAGAGTGTACCCATCCATCACAGTCTGCTCGGCGCCGGAGGGATCCCTCACGTCGCAAATTTTCGTACACTAAAACCGAGGGCCAACTGCGAATTCGGCAGAATGGACGGTGAGGAAGGCTTACTGATGATAGCTAGCTCGCTCATCAACCTTCGGTCAGAAGAGTTTTCCAATCGTAACAAAATTTCTTCTTATGAGAACCTCGGCGCGGGAGTGTCGTGAGGAAGCTCATGATAGGCGGAGCATACAGTGACAGAGTATATAAAATTATGTATGCGGAGAATGAAAGACCTTTTCGCCTGCTTTTGGGTTCGATGTTCTGTTGATGTCGTCTGGACTTCAATAAATCTTGGTTGGCCGAGTTATGCGAGACGCAAGTAACGTCATCACATATTATCGATTGCTTTGGTCGTTTTCTCTGCGCACTCTACGACGAGACGAGAATATGGTCGTCAACTGTACGGAGCGTCATTGCTGTAGAAAGTGGAGTATGGGAATGCGATGATTCAGCTGCAAGGAAGCGCGAAGGCGCGAGAATCGTGCGCACTGCCCGCCTCGTCGCACAAGCGGCGAAGCGAACGCTTGCTAGCGGAGGATAGATGCT